ACACTAATTCTACAATATACAGACTAATCATTATAGTATCATCTGTTTAAGAAGTTACCATTTCATACTGAAATTATACAGTGTGTGTGTCAATCAAACTGCAACTTTGGGGCTAAAAGATCCCAAACGATGTCTTAGAAGTTGAACACATAAAACCAAAAATATGTGCATGGCTAGATACGACTATATGAGAGATAGAAATGTGAGAAAAACAGGTATTTTTTCTTTGTTATTTAGGCGACCCGACCCTCTGAATGTAAGTGCAGAAACACACACAAACACAATGAGGACACGATGAAGGAAAAGGAGGATTTCACGGCGGCCTGCAGAGCCGATCGGCCGGAGGTCAGAGATCTGTCAGCCAAAAAACTCTCCCTCCTCTCTTTCCTCACATCTGATCTGCTCTCTTAACCCTGACCTTCCCCTTTGTTTATCTCTGTCACTGCCTCCTTTGAACAGATAAACACACACGAGCAGAGATGCTGACGCTTCAAGCTGATATGAAATCAGCCCTTTTAGTTCACCACAGCGGCCGATTAGAAGCTCTGCAACTGGTAAGGTGGACAAAAAATTACCTTACACGCAATATAAGGTGGATTCCTGTGCTGTTTGTAGTTTGCAAACTCAATCTAGAAGTATTTGTGCATTTTGGAGGTAGTTTCATCAATGTTACCAGCTGTAGGAGTGAGAGGTGTGAATTCCCTTTACAGCAAGCATAATCAATCAATAATACAAACTGTGCTGCAATATTTTGCCTCCTGATTTTCTTACTGACATGAAACTGAAGGACACATAGGACCAAAAGGAGTTTCTGCACCGTGCACAAGTTTCACAAACACAGTCTGAAACAGCCTGGTCTATGGTTGGTTTGCTACCTGAACAAAGGCACTGAAAGTGGGTCAAACCGGAGATTATGATCCTTCAATGTGTCTACGCCACAGACTGAATGTGAAGTATGTGATTTGCACTACGGAGCACCTTCTCCTCTGCTGCGTGGAACTTTCACATGTACTCTTGTTCTGATTGAAAACACAAAAGGAAACTGCTGTGGTTTTAAAACCCTGCGCACAGCGTTTCTACATTATGGTCTCAACCTTTTCAACATGTCTAAAAATGACCCAAAATCACGCGTCTGAACCACACGGATGAAGCAAACAGAAGCAGATAAGACTTTTGATTGGAAACAACTGAAACCTCATATTTGACTTGTTTGAGTCACTTGTAAAGAACATTTTTATTGTTACAGGCTTGAGTTTAAGCAAATAAATTTAAAACTTACAGTAAACGCAAATCATTTCCTGGTTTCTTCATTAAAACTCAAATAAATGATCAGGTGCTGTCTTATATTGCCATTTTATATATATAATTAATCCAAAATTACATATTTCTTTCTTTTGCAGTAATGCTAACTGGTGCATTTTGGGGCTTTGAGCTCACTTTCTGTGTTTGTATCACCGTGCAACAGCTACACAGTGGATATAAAACTGATGATGTGATATTAAGAAACACCAAGCTCATCTTTTTTCCAGCCGCACTCTGCAGACAGAAATATTCACACTCAGTCATTCTCAGTTGCTGACTGTAGCCACAGAGAAAGTGAGCAGACACTGAACTCACATCACTGGGTTCGTCTGTGTTGTTGGACTGGCAGACGATGGTGATGGCGGGGTAGACGACAGACCAACCTTTCTCTGTACAGTTCCTGCTGAGGTTACCTGAGACACACAGACACACACAGATTTTAAGACTCTTCTAGAACTGAAACAGTCAAGTCAATTTGATTTAAATAGCCCAATTCTACAATCTGCACAAAATATGACAACCTTAAAGGCACAGTGTGAAGGATTGTTCACAGTTGTAGACTGCAACTAACTGAACATCGTCTGTATTTGATGACCTGGGAAGAACAGGTTGCAAAGTGTGTAGGAGAAACTACGGTGGCCGTAAAACTTGTGAAAAACAAGTAAAAACCTCTTATTCTAAGGTAACAAAAACACAATGTCTCCTATATTCAGGTGATTATAGACTAATTAAAACATACCTATGAATATTATATTAGATTTCTGACAATAGAGCCTCCTAAATGTTGCACACTGGACATTTCAATCCTTAAAAACACCTGGAATAAAAGGAATAAACGTCTGGAAACTCTTCCAGGAGAGACAGATATGCAACAGAATATGGAAAATCACAATGACATTATCAGGTCAAACTGGCATCATTTCAGTTTTTTATGTCACAATCTGCTTCACTGTCCTTCCACTTCTCCAAACCTGTTCAACAGAAACCCTCTGACTTGTTCTCCAGCCTCACCCTGCTGCCCTGAAGATACCTCACCTTCCTCTCTCACCTGTTTTAAAACATATTAAATCGAAGGCAAAACTCTCCTTCTTCTTTTTTGTTCTCATATTTAAAAAGTGGCCATCTAATTTCAGCTCCGAGTGTGTTGACAGACAGGAGAGTGAGAACATTTAACGGCTTCAGTCAGCGACTTTTGATGTTGAGCAGTCGTTGCTCTGCTGTGTTGCGCCGATTACACGGCTCATCTTTTAACCCGCCCGAGGTGCCGCTTTCCCTCTATGCAGAGGGAGCAGGGAGGTGGATAAAACGGGCCTGCTGACAGTCGTCGCTGAGGGAAATCATGGAGAAAGTCGGCCAGCCCAGATGTTGTCAGCTGCCTCGTGAATAATTAGATTCATTAACTGAAAAGAGCCTGAGCAGCGCAGGATAGAGGGAGGAGAGGAAAACAAAGAGAGGTGGAGGTGGAGAAGGTGGTGAGAAGTTCAGGAGGACAGAAATGGGAACACGACTTTATCTGAGGCAGGTTTCTTGTTCTTCTAAAAATATTATTATTAATAGATTTATAAGCACTAAAAAAACAACATTTTATTTGCCAAAACTAACTGAAATGTTAAATAAATCACAGAAAATTGTCATATAACCACAAGGTGGATTATTTGTTTGGATATAGTTTTCAAACAAAACTTGCCAAAGACACTTTTCAGCTGTTTTGCTTTTCAAATTTAACCATTTGTTGAGCCAGTTGAGCCACTTCCACCATTATTAAAAGGCCATTTTAATAAATTTTTTTCAAGTGTCGACACAAAGTTGGCCGTTTCTGTTAAGCTTCAAAACATTTTTATTTCCAACAGCGGAGAAAAGAGGCTGAATCTGAACCGAAGAGAGGAAATCGGATTGAATAGAGTGATGCAGAAACAGAGAGAGTCAGTGGTGAGGGAGACTAGGATGAGAGGAGGATGATGGGAGAGAGGAAAGCGAAGCAGGAGGAAGTTGAGAAGAAGAGGTGGAGGGATGAAAAGACCTGCCGGCCTGTAACGTGTACACATGACAGAAGATCAAGAGGATCAAAGGCAGAGGGACAAGAGGCATCATGATGGATGAAGCAGAATGAGTCGACTGTTTGTGAAATTAGCTGTGAAAGAGACGGCTGGGAGGAAGGAAACTGCTGGCCAGGTCACAGTCAGTTGATACAGACTCAGCTGGTTCAGTTCAGGACAGACGGATTATGACAACAACACTTTCTCTCTGGACCTGAACCAGAACAACCACAAACAGAACGTGAGGATTTTAATGAAGGAATATCTCAGAACGTGTTTCACTGTTTGGATATGAACTGCTTTAATCACTTTTAAGTTATTGGAAATTAATCAAATTTTAAGTTCCACCTTCATGACTAAACTAACTATAATAATAATCTAAATATGACTAATAATAATAATAATATTAATACAAGAACTTCATTTTTGTCTGAGTTTAACATCAGAAAATTGCAGGTCATCCAGGTTTTTGTGTCCTTATATTTGTAATTAGCTAATTGTTTAATTTCATCTAACTTAATAGATATAATTGAGTATCATCTGCTTTTTTGGCCTTTTTATGCCTTTATTTGATAAAGAACAGCTGAAGATCGACAGGAAATGGGGGGTAGAGAGGAGAGGGGATGACACGCAGCAAACCCGCATGTCCGATTCGACCTCCGCCGCTGCCGCAACTCTTATATGGGGTCGCACCCCTGATGAGTATTCCCTAAAACTGTTCACCTTAAAAGGAAGGTGGAATAGATAATGTCCAAGCACAGACCTTGTTAACATCCAAAGCGTCAGTACAATTGACTGTTTATCCGATCGAAGCCACATTTTCTATCCATCCCACTGTTTTAGAGCTTAGTTGCTTTTTAACTCTAGGATTTGAACCAGATTAAAAATTTTAGTCATCAGACGGCCTGAACCATGACACTGAGAATCCTAACCGGAAAGATGACTGCAATGACGCCAATGGTGGTGAAGAAAACAACTCCCATGATCCCACACTGCTTAACCACCTCATCAAACTTTATCAATCTCATATCTTCTGCAACGTTTGAGCGTCTCCTTTCAATAATGCTTGCTGCTCAATAATCAAATACATAAATAACTAACACTTCAGACATGTTAACAACCACCTAGCAGGCAATAAATCATGAGCCAGTGAACATGTGTATAACTATACACCAAAAGAAAGCTTAACTCCACTGTCACTGTTTCCTCTTGAAACTCCAAAAATGATTCCACAGTATGTCCTCAGCTCTCCTCTATTCCCTGTTACAGAAACACCTTTTCATACTCACTAAAATATCCAGATATGAACATTTACAGGAGATACGACAAAGATGTCGTGCGAGCGAAGAAAGACTCACCTTTTTTTCCAAACAGGTGCAGGAGAGGGGAAGGGCAGGGGAGGGTCATCACCTCGCCGACTGCCGCGCTCTGCCAACAAGACACATTGTCCCACTCACCGCGGCATCCTGTACACACACACACACATGCATTAGAGGTATAAATTAGACTGACAACTTCCTGTTTGAGCTTTAAAACCCACTGATCCGGTGCCTGCTGCCTGCTGACAAGCAGTTGGGATATAAATCAACATAAAAGCTCTTTTACACCTCTGATGTTGTGACATTTGGCTCTAATGTACATCCAGAAATCCCTAATTTAACACCTTAAATGCCTCTTACTTATATTTCATAGTAAGAATGACATTGTATTGGTTAAAACAACAAACATTTGTATTCTTAAGAGAGAGAGTGTAGCTCTAAATGTTGTTTATTACTCAGTCTATGAGAATATTCATTTAAACTGCATCAAATTTAGAGATTTAATGGATATTTTAGTATTTTATGGTTTTAAAAGATTGGGTTTGCATTTATTAATTAGTTAAAAACATATATACATATTGTAATGCATGACACAAAATATTTCCACATTTTGGAAGTTCTGCTCTTTTGCAACCTTCGTTTTCTTCCAATTCTCGGTTCTGTAGTAGAAATGTAGACAATAACTTTGTTTCTCCTCAAAGAACAAACTTGTTTCTCTTTTCAACTTGTTATTAACAACTACAAAGGATCAGTGGTGGCAGAAGTATCTCAGATCTTCTGCTTGGAAGTAGTAGTAAGCAAAAGACCTGCATTCAAAATGTTACTTTAACCTGTAATAATACTTTTATTTGTGAGTAAATTTAGAATTATTAATCTGAACCTGCGCAGTAGTGCCGATGTTTAGATATCAAAACAGAGAAAAGGCATGTATAATGTCATTATTCCATGCACATTACAATCTAATATACATAAATATTATATATTATATTATATTAACCGGGTGTTTGGATGGATTTTTTATTCATTAATGAAACAGAAAGATACACTGAGTTATGCTGTGGATTTCAGAATGTGAGTCGTATTTAAAAGAGTCAAGTTATGTTAGAAGAGACGTCATTCAACTACATCATCATATCATCTCCATGAGCGCAGAGTCGGTACCGATTATGTGAATTAATGCTGATTAATCAGTCAACCTATAATGCAAAGTAACTAGTAACTAAAGTTATCATATAACTGTTTTGGAGTAAAAAGAACAATATTTCCATCTGAATTGTGGAGTTGAACTATAAAGTGGCAGAAAATAAGCATGAAAATACTCAAAATTGTACTTAGGTGCAATACTTGATTAAATGTACGTATTTACTTCCCACCACTGATGAGGAAACATTTTTATGTAAAGATAAAATATATCAAAATGTTTAAAATAACAGCACTGCATCTCAAATATGACCTGATGGTGTCTAATAAGAGAATCTGCTGGTGGTTTGTCCCTTAATAGATTTACGAATATCTGGTGGAGTTTAACACACACACAGATCACGACACGCACACACGACTTTATGCACTATAGAACAGGCGTGAAGAAAAAAACCCTCAGACAATCCACAAGCTGCAGACCACACAGATAAAATGCCTTCTTATTATCGCTGTGGCGAAACATTCAAACACACATGACCTTTTAGAGAGCAAATTGTGATGGCTATGCAGTACTCGTTCGGTGTGTGTTCGTGTAGTTGGATTGTGTGGTTGTGATGTGTGGTGTGATGTAGGTGGTGGTGTGGTGTGTGTACTTCCTGTTGATCCCAAATAAATAAATGATTAATAGCGGAGTGTGTTGCAACAACAGAACTGACAAGGCGCGGAGGTACACACCCTCCTTCATATCATATTACAATGAACTATCGGACACTCTCACACAACACACACGCACACACACACACACAACACACACACATATTTATTAGTTATTCTTTTAATGTTTCTATCTTTCCTACAAAGCTGCTTAAGTTCACCATAAAATCTCTCCTCCTGACATTTATTTCACTTTGAGAGTCTGTATGGGGGATTCCAAACAATTTCTCTTTTTTTTCTGGTGTGTGTGTGTGTGGTGTGTGTGTAATGTGTGTGACCTGTGTGCAGGCGTCTGTTGCTGCAGTTGTGCTCTGAACACTCTCTCCTTGGCCTCTCTGCTATCTGCCCAGTAGAACTGGCAGAGAGGAACTTCCGATAACCTGTCGACGAGAGGAAATAAACAGATATTTATGAATATATTATTCCAACGTGAACAAAACCTTCCCTGCGTCAGTCAAAAGTTCCGACTGCGCTCGGGTATCTGAAAACGGTGTTTCATGTTTGGATATATTGTCTTATTGTTCTGTGTCTTGAAAACTTTCTTCCAGGAGGTCTCCGGGCGGATGCGAGAATTGTAGATAATTGCTCCCTTGGGGATCAGAACATTCATGCCCTTATGTGCACTCAATTTGGCTTCTTTTCGTTCCCTAATGGTCAGTCATGGTGGCACCACGTTTTCAGTTAATGTTCATTCAAACCAAATTAAATATAATTATGCGTCATGCCTCCCCAAAATATTCTTTCAGGGATGTCATTAGCACAACATCTTCAACATCTCAGACAAACATGAGATATCTGGCGCATGCTCAGACCAAGGACTAACATAACAATGGCTTGTTAAATCCAAGTAGGTCAGGGGCACTTAGATAAGGGGGTAATTTACATAGGTGATAAACTTACTGGTAGGTGTGACACTGTAGGGCTGCCCTTAGACACTGTGTAAACATACAGTGCCATCATTTTCTGCGCCTAGGGGGTCTCTGTCACATCAAAACAATAGCAAAAGATGAAGTTAGGATGATGGGGATTTTGAAGAGAGTGTCCATCACCGCCACCGAGGTTCTCTTCTCTCCAAAGACAAAACAGACCCGCTGATTACAAACCAGAATGAACATCGAACTAACGGGAGTTCCCACCTTAACAAGATCTGGTGATTTGACGGACCAAAGGACCGGTTGCACTAATGCTAACGTTAGCTCAGTATTGTTTTAACTGATTTAACGTAAGATCCAGACGACTAAAAACAAACAAATCTGTTTAGTTTTTTATGTCCCAAACTGCTGAACTGCTTTAACTCTTGGAAATAATGTAAAAAAAAACATGAAAAAATATGTTTTTCTTCTTGCTTTAGGTTAATTAAATAGACTGTAAACTCCAGGACCTCCACAGCCCAAAGCTAATCTTCAGTTATTGTAAATTAGCTTCACCTCGCTAGCAGCTCCTGTAGTGACATCACAAACCAAACTTTTGTCCTGCTGATAAACGCCAACCTAGAGCCTGTGTGTGTGTGTGTG